AAAAAAAAAAAAAAAAGTTTATCTACAGTGATCTATTCCAAAATTTGTTTTTTTTTAAATATAGTCAATTTAATGATTTTATATGGATATTTTGCCTCATCTCATTTTAAATTCTGACACTGTTTGATGCCATGACGAAATTGGCCATTTTAAATACAATAAAATGCCAAAGGAAGGCTGACAGCTGTCAGTTACCTTTTGAAAATAATTAATAATCATGCCCAGACACTTAAACTATACAAACGAAGATTATTTAAATGTATTTATTATTTATGAAGAATGTGATAAACCTTATCAAAACAGTAACACATATTCCTTCATACGAAAAAATAATAATTATTCGCATGGCTGCAACCATATAATAAAATTTCAAATATATCAAAAACAGTTAGACTTGGGTATAGGACATTATACATGAAATATATTTAGAATTTGAAGTAGGAAGAGTTAAAAATATAATAATATATAAGGTGTTTAAAATTCCATTCAAAATAAGCAAGTTGATACTTACTTACGGTATAACCACTGTGAACAGTGTGATGAGGTATTTTATATTAAAAAAACACAATTATCTTTATTAACTAATATACAGGGTGCGCCAACTAAAACGAAACAGAGCAGTTTTCTCGGTTGATGCAGGTCATGAAACAATCCTCGAACACGTCAACTTTAGTGTGGAGGAAAAGGTTTGCTGTTAGCTTCTTGAGGAGATTACCCTCACTCCTAGACAGGGAATGACAATTCACATCCACACAAACCAAATTTTTTTTTTTGATTTGGTGTTTATACGCCTGTATCCTGTATATTTTGACCTGCTGAATCAAAATCCGCGGTCAGTTTAACTCGATAAGGTGAGGAACGGAGGCTCCCCATACTAAATCTTCCTCTAATGCGCTTACTGATTGGGTGAGAGCTCAACCAATAAAGAAAATAAGACGTGGGCATTGTTGACAAACTTTCAGTCGTCCTGACTTTGTTTCGTGTGCTTATTGCGATGCCGAATTAAAGAACATTTCACTTTGAATCTTAAATTGCAAATGTCACATACATGCGGGCCTTGGACTGAATGACGTTTCTTATGCGAAAGTAAATGCGCTTCTGCAACAAATGTTTTGTTGCAAATCGCACAACTATACTGCTTATCCTTCGTGTGCAAATTTCGATGACGTTGTAAATGATATTTTGTTTTGAAAGTCTGTTTGCAAATGTTGCATTCAAAGGGGCGTTGGTCGGAATGAACCGTCTTATGATTCCTTAACACTTGAGTTGATAAAAATCTCTTATGACAAACTTCACACTCGTAATGCTTTTCCTTTGTATGTGTATTTCGGTGACGGTGTAGGTCATATTCTCTCTTAAATCTCGAACTGCAAGAATCACATGCAAAAGGGCGATCATCCGAATGAATCACTAAATGATTCATTAAACACCAACCGGCTTTAAACCGTTGTTGGCAAATCTGGCAGTCGTACCGCCCCATATGCTCTTTTCGAAGCCGAGCTAAATTATCTGTCGTTTTCTGCTTGAGGTCGAGTGTTTGATGATTATTTGCTACTAATCCTCCCAAGTTTTCGAATTCAGGCAGATGATGTTCTTCGATAGTCATTTCTTCTTTTACTTGAATGTACGACTGATAGTGCAATCTAAAATTAGAAGCAATTCTTTTAAAATAAGAAATAAACGAACGTTCCATAAATTATAAATATAGCGAAATCGGATTCTTGATATTTATAATGCTTTACATAAATTAAAACAGAGCCTTTCCGCTCGTGCCTCAAAATAACCAAGAGTAGAGCTTTTTCTCCACAATATGAAATTAAACTGCTGCAGTTTCTGTTAAAAAGCTTTCGCCCAAAATTATTGGTAGCTTTGAAGCACTTGTGCAATTTACACCGATATTGAAATTTTAAAATGTTAACAACGTACAAATTTGAACAACAATTTGCAAATGGATGTTGATGTCGATGGCGTTAATTTTTTGCTTCGTTGTGCATGGATTAGAAATAAAAATACATATAGAAACAAGAAAGAACAATTGTTAACCTAATAGACCTTCTATTAGAGCGTCTTAAATAAAACATAGAACTTAAGTAATATATCGTTGTTCAATAGTAAAGTGCTCCCCATACTGAATCGTTCTCTACTGCGTTCACTGACTGGATGATAGCTCAACCATTAAGCGTAATAAGAAGTAGCTATTGTTGATACAATTTTAGTCAGAACGACTTTGTTCCGTGTGCGTCTTTCGATGCCAATTTAAAAAACCTATGGACTTGAATGTTAAATTGCAAATATCACATACAAGCGGGCCTTAGACTGAATGACGTTTCATATGACTAAATAAACTCCCCGCAGCAAGAAACGTTTTCTTGCAAATCTTACAATTAAACTGCTTTTCCTTCGTATGAAAATTTCGATGACCTCGTAAAGACTGTTTTGTTTTGAAACTCTGATTACAAACATCGCATTCAAAAGGGCGTTGATCTGAATGAACCACTAAATGACGCCTTAAATGTGAAGCGCATTTAAACCGTTGTAGACAGATCTTGCAGTACAACGGTCTATATTCCAAATGCTTATATTGATAGGCAGTTAAACAACCTTTCGCTTTTAATTTTAAATTGACTGAGTGACATTTCAAATGACGAACTAAACTCGTTGCAGCGAAAAACGTTTTCTTGCAAATCTTACAATTAACCTGCTTTTCCTTCGTATGCACGTTTCTATGAGTCTGTAAATAATGCTTTCTTTTGAAACTTGCTTTGCAAACAGAGCATTGAAAAGGACGTTGAGCTGAATGAACCACCATGTGTCTATCCAAATATCGTAAAGAGTTAAAAACTTTCTGACAAAGTTTACATTCGTACTGATTTTCATTTGTATGTGTATTTCGGTGACGTTTTAGGTCACATGCTCTCTTGAATCTCGAACTGCAAGAATCGCATGGAAAAGGGCGATCATCCGAATGAACCACTAAATGATTCCTTAAACACGAAGCGGATTTAAACCGTTGTTGGCAAATATGGCAGTCGTGCCGCCCCATATGCTCTTTTCGATGCCGAGCTAAAATATCTTTCGTTTTCTGCTTGAAGTCGAGTGTCTGATCTGCTTCCATTCCTGCTTCCACCAAGTTTTCGAATTCAGACAGATAATGTTCTACGATAGTAATTTCTTCTTTTACTTGAACGTACGACTCGTAATCGGAATTGCGTAACCTAAAATTAGAAACAATTCTATTAAAAAAAGAAACAAACGCACATTTTATATATTAATATATAAATATGCCAAATTAGCACATTACTTGATTGGTGGAGAGGTTTTTGCCAATTCCACAAGCAATCACTGAT